CAGCAGCTGGGGTTCAGAGAGGTTGGTGTGGTTTTCTGAAAGTCACAGAGCCAGTTCTGGGGCAAAGCCAACAGACCTCCCCCCGTGCTATCTGGGTCATGTTTCCTCTGCTGGAATGTCCTCCAGGCCGTGCCCAGTCTCCTGAGCCTGGGGCACACGTGACTGCATTTCTCAGGCTCCTTGGCTCTTAGCCTTGCAAGCCTTACCTGGCATTTTTGGCTCTGAGGAAGTGGGTTCCTAATTCTGGCCTCTCTACATACTGGCAGTGTGACTTTGAACAAGTTACCTAGCTTCTCTGAACTGGATGCCACAGCTATAAAGTGGAGACATTCACATGTAACTTGTGGAGTCGTTATAAAGATTAAATGTGAAAGTGCCTGGCACAAGCCCGTAAACCCAGGTGGCCTGTGTACCTTCATTCCTTCATGTGTTTTAAGGTTTTCAATTGAGCAGTGCTGGTTTCAAAAGGGAGCCTGGCACGGATGACCCCGACCCTGAGAACAGCCCTCCTTTCTGCTCCCAGCCTTGCCAGCCACACCTCAGTCCTGGCCTCAGCCTCTGCCCTTGAGCTTAGCAAGGGCGAGAGGGGGACAGTTTTCTGAGAACTGGGGGCCCTCACAGCTGATAATAGGCAGCCTGGCTTTGGGGAGTCCCTGAGTCCTTGCAGAGTGCTGTGGAAATGGTATTTCTTTAAACACTGTCTCCCTGCTTCCCATTACAGTTCCCGAGCCACTTTCTCTTCATCCACCGAACCGCCCCTTTGACGGAAAAGTCTAGACTATGTCTTTACTCACTCTGTGTCCTTGGGCACCTCCCTCTGAGTCTTGGGTCTCATTCTCTTCATCTGCAGCGTGGAGCAGGGTGTGGGGCTGGGTTAGAGTGGTCGGCCGTTCACATGATGTGGTGCACACACAAAATGATATTTTTCCAGGCTTTGCACCAGTGGCAGAGGCTGATTGATCTGTGGTGTGTGCAGCTGCCCGGGCCAGCCAGGCCTCCCCTGGGGCTGCGAGGGTCAGTATGTATCTCCTTCCAGAGGGCTGAAGGAACTCCAGGGACTGAGATCCAGATGCTGGGGAAGAATACCCTAGAATCTGCCCCACCCAACCCACTGCGGGAGCAGCTTGGCCAGCACATGGCCAGCTCCTGCTCTTCACCAGCTTCTGGGGCAGTGACGAGAAGAGTGCAGCTAGTCACATTCCAGGTGCCATGCTGAGCATTACCTTGCGGCATTCTCACTGAAGCCCCATAAAGGGTACATCCACTTGAGGGCGCTGGGCTGCAGAGAGGACAGGAGATGTGTGACGTCCCACAGCTGGGAGTGGCAGAGCGGGAACTGCAGCCGGGTGAGAAGAGCGCACACTTACTGCAAATGGCTGGAGTGCAAGAATGCCTCTTGGGGGCTTCCCAATACTCCGAGAGGTCTGGGTTAATGGGGAAAATGTAGGCCAGGCCATCTTGCTTATTCTTCCCCTGGGAGTGGGCCAGGTCCTGGCTTCTTTCTCCAAGGGACTGCCTTTGGCAAAATGAGAGTTGGGCCCCTTCATCCGTCTTACTAAATTACCAGAGAGTCAGGGAGATGGTGGCTTTACTCCAGAGGGTCTCAGTACCAGGCACTGACCACTATGTGTGATGACACTAAGACAGCAGACAGCAGCCCAAGGCAGTGGCTTCTGAAGCCTCCTGTGCCTGAGGTCTGTCTTAAGAGACCTCAGTGCAGGTCCCCAGAGCCCGGGACAAAGGCAGCTGCCTGTGGGGAGCCCGCCTTGGAGGGCGTTTTGGCAGAGCCAGAGCAGCATCCTCCGACCTTCTGATGTGTTGGGGTTGGTGGGAGGTGTGGGTGTGGGGCTTTGGGTGTCTGAAGCTGGCTGTGAGACGCCATGCCACATTTGGCTACCTTTCTGTGTTCATTCTCATAACAAAATGCTTAGACCGATCACTTGAGGTCACCCCTCTGTGTCTCGTGAAATGTCTTTGGCCTTTCTGACTTGCTCATCTGGGAAGAGATGGGGTAGAGGGAGTCGGATAACAAATCATGCTTCACCCAGTCAATGGAATACTACTCAGGCATTAAAAATAATGAAGTAGATCTATATGTTCTGACATGGGAAGATGACCACAATCTATTATTAAGTGGACAAAATCAGTAGAACTTCTGGTTTGATCACATTTTATAAATTCATACATATGGTAGTACTCATATGTATGAAAAAGTATCTAGACATAGGCACACTAGAGTGCTAACAGAGTTTCTCAGGGGTGGGAGGGGATTTTAGTTTGCTAAACTCAGTGTCCACACACACACACCGTGTGCTTCTAGTTACTTTAATATAGTCCACTTCTCTGGGACTAGTAGACACCCAACAGGCCCCAGAACAGGAGCCCTTGACAATTTCCACATCCCTCTAAGGAGGTGGAGGTTTTTTTTTTTTTTTTTTTTTTTTTTTTTTTTTTTTTTTTTTCCTTTTTGTCTTTTTTACCGACCGGTAACGGGATCACAACCCTCAGTGTTGCGCCCGCACCACGCTCAGCCAGTGAGCGGGAACCGGTCTCCACATGGGATCCGAACCCTCGGTGGGAGCGCCACCACACTCCCAAGCGGCGCATTCTCCAGTGCGCCACCGGGCCGGCCTAGGAGGTGGAGGTTTTAAGGTGGTTAGAACCCCAGCATGGTAGCACTTGAAACCACCGGGGAGAGAGTATGAATAATGTCTTCTGACCCTGTGGTGACAGAGGCCTTTCCACCGCACCTCCACGCAGCCCTCTGGTCCATCTTTCTTATACCATCAGGTATTTGACTGTTGAGGTAGTGGCAAGGAAGATTATGTTGATTTGGTCACACTAATAAACTTTTCCCTGTTAGCTGTTAAGATTGTGACCCCAAGTCCTAGCAAAGGGAAAACAAAGTCCTAGCACCTGTTTCATCAAACTTAAGAATATTCTTTGACGGAACAGTGCCTTAAAATACAGCTGCCACTTTCCTACAATTAGCAAAATTACTGTAAATCTTGGAGTAAGCATGAGAAAGTCAGAACTTGATGTTTTTAGACACTTTCCAGTCTCCACTGTCTTCACTAGCAGAAATGCGACTTTGGCAGTGATTTACATGCCTGGGTCTGAATAGGCTGGGCAGTTTTCTGTTGCAGCTTTAGGTCCCTAATTGTGCTTGATTTTCAGTCCCATCCATACACGTTTTTAGGTACATTGTGCTGATAACCAGGGCCTGGGGACTGGGTTGGCTGCAGCAGAGGAAGTGGGTTTGGTGGGGATAAGAACAGAGCTTATGATGTATGTGGTTCCTCAAGATAGCTTTGAGAAGAAATTTCTCGGAATTAAAAAAAATACGTAAGGACACTTAGTGCTCTGTAAAAACAAATCTGTGTCTCTGACATAAATAAAGCATGTCAACCTGACACTGGGGTGAGGAAAATGAAGTCCAGCAATCGACAACAGTCTTGGGCTGGTGCTTCTCAGGGGCGCGGACTGAGTTTTAGGGCCTGACATGAGTTCTCCAAGAGTGGAACCTGGGCCTCCCCTATCAGCCTAAGACTCCTCAGGGATGGAAATCGTGTTCCTCTCTCCAGTAGGAAGACACTGGGAAGTCCCATTTCTCAGCACCATAGTCCCCAGGAATCAGTGGAGCCCTGCACAGGGTGCACGCCCAGGTGGGGGGACAGTGATGTCAGGGCAGTGATGTGCAACGATGAGGAAAGCAGGGACTGGACGGGGCTAGAGACCAGAGGGGCAGGACATCTGTACAGAGCCCCTCCTGCCCTAGTCAGGTCTTCAGGGGTCCTTGGTAGTAAGTGTAGTGGTTGAGACCCGTGGCTCAGGGACCATACGTCCTGGGTTCAAATCCTGACTCTTTCCTTTGCGTCTATGCCTCAGTTTTCTCATCTACAAAATGGGGATGCCAGTACCTAACTCACAGTGTTGTCGTGAGTTAGCCCACACAGAGCTTTTTTTTTTTTTTTTTTTTCCTTTTTGGGTCTTCAGGGGTCCTTGGTAGTAAGTGTAGTGGTTGAGACCCGTGGCTCAGGGACCATACGTCCTGGGTTCAAATCCTGACTCTTTCCTTTGCGTCTATGCCTCAGTTTTCTCATCTACAAAATGGGGATGCCAGTACCTAACTCACAGTGTTGTCGTGAGTTAGCCCACACAGAGCTTTTTTTTTTTTTTTTTTGTCCTTTTTGTGACCGGCCGCACCGCACTCAGCCAGTGAGCGCATCGCACCGGCCATCCCTATATAGGATCCGAACCCGCTGCGGGAGCGCTCCTGCGCTCCCATCACCGCACTCTCCCGAGTGCGCCACGGGCTCGGCGCCCACACAGAGCTTTTAGGGGGATACGTGGCACAGGGGAAGCCCTTGCTAGCTGCTAGCTCTCATGTGTTGTAATTATTGCCCCTGGAGAGAAAGGAGAACGAAGCAGGTCTCCCCTGGGCACGGTAGGTGTCGCCCCTCCCTGCCCTCATGTCCCAATGGTCCTTGTCTGTCACCCTGAGCTCACCTTTGTCTCCCTCGGTTTCAGGTGGGACCGTCCGTCGTGGAGCCGGCGCCAGGATGCCCCGGGGGTGTGGATGAGCAGCGCTCCGGCCGCCGCACGACGCAGGCCCGCATGCCGCCGCCCCGCGAGGGCCCCGCGCCCGCACTGTCCTGACCCGGAGGCCCGGGGACGGGGGAGGGAGGCGCAGGAGTGAGCTCCCCGAGCCTGAACAGCAAGCCAGCGGCTGA